TCTTCTAGAATGTTGAGGGATAAATTCAAACCCATCGTATGGGAGCACTTTTATTTTTTATGACGACTATGTATTTGATTTGGCTTGAATTCGTAATTTTTGGTTTTCGAACTTTAATTATTAGATAATTCAATTACCGAACGAAAACTTAAATTACAAGTTCACTCACATTACAATGTAATTGCATTTGGCGTATATTTCAGAGATTTATTTTATCAAAAAATACTTCTTTTTTAGATTTTTGATAAGATATTTTTTCCCAATGAATGAATATTTTATTAAAAGTTTAATATGTTTAAAATTTTCTGTGCATTCATATGTGAAAACTGAAATTCTCTCTTAATATATACGTCTTCTTAATATACGCAGTATGTGTGCCAGACGAGGCTTCTTCCAATGAATACTACGCATAGTGAAAATATAGATACGAAAGTGCAAGGCATGATACAAAGAATAGTGTATGTTCATATCGCAAAGCATGCATTTATATATCGCAATATTCCGTCACTGTTTTTGCGACGTATGTATTGCGCCTTGATAATATACTGCTAAATGCAGCCCACCACGTTGCAAGAAGAGCATCTATTGTTTGCTTCGCTGTATTCGCTCAAGTCAACAACTATATTTGAAAAGTATATTTGAAAAGTAAGCTTTTTTCGCGTCGATTGTTCTCGCCGCGCTAACTTATCTCGAAATTGCTAACAATCTCTCGTTGGCTCGTAAACGCCCAATCAATACATATTTGTGCATTTCTCGCGACATGGATTTCTTTGGCAACTCGCGCAAGACGCGAGTCGAAGATGTATGTGTACTCCAGGACAAGAGGAGAGATTCATCTATCTTCCATTTCACCCTGTCAAGGCGGAAAAAAAAAGAAACCAAGGAGAAAGAGAAGAAAAAAAAAAGAGATCGGCGGCAATTGCGGTTGAACAACGAACTCTCGTCCGTCACCGATTAACCTTCCGTAATCCGTTAGCGAGTAACGCGGGCAGGAGAAGCTCGGCCTCGGCGTTTGGTGGGGTCCAGGGTCCAGCCGCCTCTGTTGCAGCGATCCGGCAACAGAGAAACGGCAACGCCGCATTCTCGAGAGCCGAGCGACAGGCGCATTCACCCTTTTTGTCCAACGCATTGCGCATGCGCGGCCGTCCGTCCGTAGCGTCGGTACCGACACGCGGAACCGCGCGCGAACACCCCCGCTGCACGTCTCGTCTCTCTCTCTCTCTCTCTCCCGCGAACCGGCTCCGCGACGCATGCGCAACGGATTCTGCCACGTGTGGCTCACTGCCGCCGAAATGTCGTCCATCGAGTAGGAATGCTGCCGTGCAGAACGCCAATGGCAACTATTCCGCCGCGAATCGTTTTCGACGCGTCATGCGATTGGCCGGCTGTTTCAGCCGCCCCAGGTACCCATAATTTCTTCTTCGGTTCTCCCTTTACAAATCTCCTTGTTTCTTTTCGGTACGCTTCTTCCACCTCGGTCTTCCTTCACTCCACTCGGCCGTCTTTTCTTTCCGGCTACTTATTTCGCGCCAAGTCTACTCCTTCACCTACATCTAATTTTAAACTTGTATGCAAAATCGAAATACCTTCTCGCGTGATGACTTTACGCATTCTCGGTTAGAATGAGGGATATCATGGACCGCATGTAATCTGCGCTATAGCAACAATGGCGAAATAAGTCGGACAATCGGTCTGTTAAAATAGCACTGCATTTGTTTCGACATATTCCTAAAATAAAAATTGTAGAAAATGCTTATCACAAAAATATCGGTAATCTTTCGTATCGTGTTAAATTTACTTTATCTTGAAAACAAGCGAATTGGAAAAATGTGTATTAAGACACTTCAAATATGTATTAAGACACTGGTATTTTTCCGCATCGAAATAAACAAATCTATATATTCGGAGCACAAGAAAATCCGAGAGATAACTATCCTGCTATATCGGTACCGGATGTCGATAATTTCTCGCGAATGTCACGGGTCAGGCCGACGACTCGCTTTTGCCTAGGGTGCGATCGATGGGAACCTTCGGGACTGAAATACGCGCGGGAAAGAGAGAGAAAGATAGATCAGTCGGGAACGAGGTCGTTGCTAGACGCGAATGTTATTTACGTGGAACAAATCGCGTTCAAGAAAATATAACTTTTCATATCAGGTGTTACCCCGGATTAGACATATCAGCAATGGATTTTGCCGATGATCTTGTTATCTATTTCTTCTTAACGAAACTCGATGAATCCACCATTATACGGTTTGCTTTGCGTTATTTAAGGCAGATATATATATATATATCAGAGGGGTTTTTCATGTATCACAAATCTCATCCAAGGCACAACCTCGAATTTAATAACATGAACGTTATCGATTTTAACTTTTTACTTCGATTACCGTTTTTCGCCTTTTAGAATTATTTTAGTAATAGGAGCACTATTAATCTCAACCTTTTACCGTTACCAGGCGGCTTAATCATGCAACAGTAATTCGCTCGTTACTGATTGATGATGCGTTTCTTGTTACGAAAAACTTACATTTAGCAAAATAGATCATATTCTTCTTTTTTACATTAATACTCGGAGCATCCGATATCGATCCATTCTATTTAATGTCTAACGCACACTGCTGTCAACATCACTAATTAGTTCAATTAAATTAATAACCACCGGCGAATTTTCCAACGAGGAGAGCGGAAGCAGAGAAATTGCAATTTTTGCAATCACATTTTTTATTCTGAGTTAACTAGATTTATAGACTCGCTCATTAATCGGAGTTTTTTCCGATAATTGATTTTTTAAATAAAAATTTGATCAAAATCCATTTTTTGCCCAAAACGTTCTAACATTTATATAATATTATAATGATTCAAAATAGTTAAATATACAGGACATATTCTTTTAAATACACAAATATATTCATTTTGTCATATTTTTTTTCTATATTTTTATTACGCTGTGATTGTATATATATATTCTCAGTTTTGCTTACCTCAGGATTAATAGTCCGCAACATTCTGTTCTGTTGCGACGTACTTGCAGCGAATTCGACGTGATTACAAGCTGGTTCGATGAGATCCGCGATACATCCGAGAAATCTCGTCGGCAGGTACCGTTATTCGCGTGAACATGGAACGAGTTAATGAACCAGATCGCCAAGTGAATTAGTAAATTAAAACGCATATTTAAATTATTATCACGATTCTGGCTCTCTCTATCTCTCTTTCTCTTTTTCTCTCTCAATGTGAGTTATTTATGTATGCAACGTTAAGACCGTTTAAGCGATATGATTTCAGTTCACAGTTGCTAGAGGATCCGTCACGAAATAGTACGAGCACACGCTTGTCACTATACTAGGTGATTATAAAATATTAAATCATCAAATGTATGAATTGTGTTATTTTTCTAATATGTTTTTTTTTTTTGCAAAGATGAATTTATTATAACGATATAAAATGGATAATTGTTCGATTAAATATTTTAACGACAAAAATTAAAAAGTTGGAGATGATGTTAAAAATTTTGCAAAATTTTTTAAAGATATCTCTATCAAATTTCACTTCCTCATTTTAATCTCTATAAGCGTTTCGACATTAATCTAGTAGTCTCAAGTAACTCTTGTGTTATCTCGCTCGGTCGTTATCGATATATTTTTTACGTGTATCTCGACAACATCTCAGTCTGCAAAAACGATGCGACGATTGAATCCATGCAAATGCAAAACAATAATTTATAATAGAGTACTTTTACGACACTATTATGAATTATTCAATTCATCAATACATGATTTTATTGCTAAAATGAGAAAGAGCACGCGATGTGGAAAAATTAATTGGCGAAATGTTCGATTCAATTCAAGAAAAAGTCTTTATTTTGACGTTTCGGATTACAGAGCGGTGGCCTTCGGAAAAGGAATCAGAAACTTCGATGGAATCGTAAACGTGATTGGATAGAGAAAAAAAAAAACCAATGGATATCGATCGGCTATATAAAGCTGTTAGGCTGCTGTCAATCGTATGCTTGACAGTTTTCTTTTTCTTCTAAGCCGGTCAAATTGGATAAACCGTGTGTATGACGTGTGCCGGTGACACACGAGCCGATAAACAAACTGCTGCGACGCGTACTGATATAACAAGCTCGCTGAATGATTAATATAAATACTGAGAGATGATGAGATCGTTCTATATATCATTCTCATATAATTGTAACTACTCGATATATTTATATATATAAAATATTTTCTTCAAAAATATATTCCGTAAATTCGTACAAGTTCCACATTATCTATTTTACATACATATATTATATCAGAAATATTTTTCATACAAAAACAATATATTTTCTTATCTTGATCATAACAATAATAATATAGAGTAAATGAAATCAGGCTTAATCTATACAATATTATTATCGAATGATTAATAATGTTCGTGAGATATATCATGCGATTAGATTATTTCATTACTTATTTTGCTGCTTATGTTTTACTACATTTTTTTAAAGACAAGATAATACTATAGTCATAAAATTTTAATATTATAGAAAATGAAATATCGATCTTTAGATCTTTAGTAGTAGTAGTAGTAGTGATATTATCAAAGTGCCATTATCTTTTAGTTGCCAACTGCAGAATATCATATCATATCAGCTCATTTATTCGTGGAAGGCTTAAGTTCGCAAATGGTATTCATTATCGCAGACTTATATGTATCTCATGTTTATATCTGTACTTTTATACTTTTACGTATTATTATTAAAGATAAATTAACAATTAAATAATTATTAACAAAGACGAATAAAACACAATAAATACAATCAACTAACAAATATCAAATTTACCCCATAGTACAATTGTAAATTTAAGAACTTGTTGTTTTCCATTGCGTCTAATAATTTATATAGCAGTGAAAAGACTGATTTTATACCCGCGAGACTTTTTTCGCCTCGGGTCTATCGTACTTGAATCTCTCTAGTCTTCGAGTCTAATGTAATTTTACGACGATTGCAGACCAACGCAGAGCTATGTCAACATCAAGAGCAGCAGCCCAGTGTCTCCGAGGACGGTAGGAACGGGAGCGACGTACGTGCAGGGTGGCGCTGCCGCGTCTTCCGCGACGGCCGCAGCCGCGGCCGCCG